ATATCAAAAAAGTACTCCAGAGTGTTGTTCAGCATGGGGGTGAGTAGAAAATGAAGGCTAATCATGTTTTGGGTGTACTATTCCTTTAATGTGAGTTCAAACATAAAAGATAAAAAAAGCCTTGTTTTAATCAAATCATAAGAATGTCTTACATTCAGAAAGGATTCAGCTTTAACAGTAGATGCGATTATTTGGGGTTTACATATTGAAGTCAATTAATTTAAAATAATGCGATGACCAGCCAGATTTGGCAGATGTGTATTTAATCTGTAACATGTTTTATTTTCTAACCAATGTATGCACGAGAGTACAAGAACCTGTGGAAATGGAACAAAAAAACGACGAAAACACAACACAACTTTCAATGAGGCTTTCTTTACCTGTCACTGTGAGGCGAGTCTCTTAGAGAGTCGTATGAGTCCCCATACTGCATCCCCATTCCCGACATGTCTCTGCAGCCGTAGTTGGCGGCCCTCCTCGCCATGCATGCCGGGCTGCTGCACTTACTGGTTCCCACTGAGCTGGAGAGCCCACCTGACTGGCAGTCTGAGTTTACGCTCTCTGTTCGTTCCATGCTCCACGTCTGCTCCTCGTGTCTGCAGGTGAGGCAGTTAACAGCAGGTGTGCAAGATTAAAGCATCACTGAAAACACTGAGCTGTGGAATCTGGAAGCATCAAGACTATAGTGAAAGATCAGGGGCACAGCATTTAACTTTAAAATAATCTGTTAAATTTGAAAATAATTTCTTTGTCTTCAGTTTGATACCAATTCTAACCATGTTGGAGATATAGTTATAAAATAGTTCTCATATTTATAAAAAGAAAGTAAAAGAAAAAAGTTAAAGAAACACCAGTCTATATATTGACTTTGAAGTATATGGGATATCCTGATCTGTAAGTGGATGTAAGCTATAGTGAAGCTATACGTCGAAAAAAGCTGGATTACCGGCTAACAAGCGTTTGTAATTTTTGTAGCTTACTATCTAACAGACGGAGAAAATGTTATTGGCCGTTTCTCAATATGTGTACTTGTGCGTTCTCGTGTGCTCGTGAAACCTCATCAGCCTCAGCCCGAGCACTGTTCCAATTCACAAGAACAAGAAGACCGAGAACGGACAAAGTACTCGTGATGTTGTTCTCGCCCCTACCTCTTTACCCAGCATGCATCAGAGCAGACTTGTCTGTTCTCGAGATTGACAGCTGTCCCAGCATGCACTGCAGCAGCAGCAGCTTTCAATGGAGCGCTCACAGAGCTCAAAGTATTAAGTTAAAAGTTAACTTTTCTCTTGCCCTTTTTCAATAAAAAAGTCCATATCTTATATTAACAATATGTGAGCTCGGTCTTCTTTATTAAACAGAATTCATTAATCCGGACCCCCATTCCAAACGGGTTAGACCCCTTCGTCTGTTTCAAAAACAAGGTTTGTTAGGCTACTGTATAAAACCTAGAACTCAACGCTATTCCTGACATTTTATATTGAAAAAGCTTCCTGGATGGGAAGCTAAATGTCTTCAAACTTGTAAACAAAGTCCAGAAGATCGTCTTTTAATTTTCTTTTTTTGGAATTAGTGAGAAGCTGATTTCTGTTAACATTTCACTAAATACCAGCTAAACACAACTCACTGTTATTCAAACTATTGCAATGTGAAGCAACAAAAAAGATGTTGAAAATGTAAAAGGTAATGATTAAAAAAAAGAAAAAAAGCTGTGATGAGAAAAAAATTATCTTACTGCTGTTAAGCCTCTAGTTAATAACAGTGATTGTGAGCTTGTTTTGCTTCCCTTTATTGTAGAAATTATCCTTTTAAGCCGACCACCTGTTAGATAAGGCTAGATGTAAGTCTTATCTTCCTGATTTATTTTATCTTCCAGTTTTAGATGTTTTGGTAAAAGGTTAGACTCCATCGGATTCAACGCTTATCTAACATTTTACTTTTTTCTTCAAATGTAACTTGTTTTGATTAACTGTATGTAGAGACCCTCACAGCTCTTTGCAGACTGCGAGTTAGTTAGAAAAACCTTATCTAGTCCAGAACAGACAGAAACACTAACAAAGGCTGAATGTTCACCCTTGCACAGATTAATAAATGCCGCTTGAATAAAGAACACCAATCTCACATATTGTTATTGTATGACTTAGACTTTTTTTTCCTAATAATACAGTTGAACCTTGAAATATGACATGTTAAATACAAAACCTAAACTGAGTGAAGTTTTATATAAACTGAAAACCCCTTTAGATTCACTTCTTTTTTTTTCATTAAAAAAAAGGTCTTTTAGATTTAGTAAAGCTTATGTTTAAAAGGACACTCATTTCTATTTGATTAAACATTGTGGCCTTGACCATAAAGTGGATTTGGCTGCATCAGTGTTGGTGTCTATGGGAACCAGACAGTGGTTTAGTGTCCTGGGTGTGATTGTGTGTGTGTGTGTGTGTGTGTGTGTGTTTGGTCTACCTGGAAGCATGTGAGGCAGTGGTGGAGTGATGGGAGCGCGTTGACATTCGGCTGCCTGCATAGTTTCCTGCACCCTCAGCTCCATGACTGATCACACACTCTGTCGTAGGGACACTCTTCGAAATGTACTGCAAATCAAACATGAGAGCAAGTTTTACTGCATTTCCCGTGTTACTTTAAAAAAATTAATAAACAAACAAACAAAACAGATATAATGATGAGGAAAGTCCAACTGTTACCTGGAAAATTATACAAATCTTAACAAATATAAAAGGACGATTCAAAATTTGTCCATCTGAATGGCTGCTGACTCAGGCCTGCTATGTGTCCAGGAAGGGAAAGGTGTTTCTCTGCTCTCTCAGTAACATTTATTAAACATGTGGCTATAAATCCCCCAACCAACCCCCCACCCAGACAGCTTTATACAAATAAATACCCAATCTGAAGCAGAGCTGCACAGAAGCCTAAAAGAACTTTAATTGTTGTGTTAAGTTTAGGTCCTGAAGTAAAACGACCTCCATCAGCAACCAGAGGCAAGGAGGCAGCGGAGCCTCGCTGTGCGGTTTGCTTCCTCTATCCTTGCTTTAGTATTAATGGATAACGGGGGGTATTTCTCACACAGACTTAAATTATATTCAGGGCATTGAAATTTAATTAAATACAATGATATATCTGCTCCTGCTCGGATGGTAGCTGCAGGCTTTGCTGGAGATTATTAACCCTTTTAAACTCACAATAGAGATAAAATGGTTATAAGCATTTTAACATGACATAGGAATGATCTAAATAAGGGGTAAGATAACTGTCATTTAAAAACATACATAGGTGTCTAAATTCTTAAATGAAGGTCAGTAAACAAGAACACATTTAAGATTTGTAATTGTTTCTTGTCAGCTCAAACAAACATCCAACACTAGATGTTTCATCTGTTATTATTCAGGTTTAGAAGTTTATAATAATAATACATCTTATTTCAAAGGAGCCTTTCTGGATACTCTTCTGGTCACCGTACAAAAGATAAAAACACATTGGCAGAAAGTCAAAACACAGAGTAAAATCATTAAGGTATGAATGTAAGTTAGAGAGTAACAACTTTGCAACAAAAAAAAAAAAAAAACAACTACAAATAACTAATGTAAATACAAAAAAACAAGAAATAACAAATTTAAGAGTGTGAATCAAAACATTGACCTGTTGTGATTAGTACTTGCAAATTTGTGATTCTCACTCATAAAGTTTAGAGTGTTATTAATAAATATGATTCATAGTCATAAATTAATCATTTCATCATTTTGCTTCATTCTATCTCTATTCTTCCACTCTGCAGAATATGTTAGTTCAATCTCTAACGTTCTGCTCTCTCTGCTTTTTCTTATAGTTGCTTCATCTGGTCTGTTCCTGTTTAGCTGTGACTCCATCCTGGAGAGAAATATCAGCTTTGCTGCTGCCATCAACACCTTTGTTTATAGATGTTGGAGATCAGCCTGTTTACCAGTGTAGTCCTGTTTCTCTGACTGTGACTGGCTGGATGTGCTCTCTTTCATCCTTTCACATTGGGGCTCAGAGCTCATCTGCCAGGCTGTGTGTTTCCTGGATGGGGCCGCCTTTTACAGATGCTTCTTGTGTCTCTGCTTCTGTCTCCTTGAACCCCAGTCGGCCTCAGCAGATGGCCGCTCACACTGAGCCTGATTCTGCTGGAGGTTTCTTCCTGTTCAAAGGGAGTTTTTCCTCTCCACTGTCGCTAAAAGCATGCTTAGTGTGAGGGATTGCATTCAAGTCAATGAGTCGAGGAACTTGTTATAACTTGTTAGTTGAACTCATAGTTTTTGCAAAGTTAGAACCTGGTCCTTTTTATTTTTTCTCAAATAAATGTTTTCCATGCAGACAAATAAAAATGCTCTTTACTACAGAGGAAGGTCCACTGCTAGAAGGGAGTGTGATCCGTAAAGCACCATTTGAAAATATAATGCAACTTTTAAAACTCAAAGAAAATTTTGAAATAGAAAATCTAAATAAATAAGAATAATAAATTTTTAAAAATACAGTTTTAGAAAAGAAATATTTTGAAAAAGTTTCATTTTCTGATTGCATTGTTTTCAAATTTACATTTACAAAACATGTTTTTGTCTTGTAAGAATAATGAAAGATATTTCACTCCATAACCCAAGGCCTTAAGGGAAACCCTGAAGAGGAAAAACAACAGGAGTAGTGAGGAAGACTTTGAGGAAAACAAAAAGTGTCTGAATACAGAGAACTGATTAGTTGACCCACCCCTTAAATAGTTTAATAAATTAGGAAAAACGTATCTAACTTTCAGAAAATTATACATCTGGAGATAAGATCAACTTTATCATCCAGAGGAGATTCATTTCAGCGGTCAGACGTGTTAAAGGTTAATTAGTAGTTAAATAATAGGAACAATATTGAATAAAAAAAAACTACAAAATGTAAAAGCAATACATTATGGAAGTATTCCAGCGGCATTACCAATTGTGAAAATACAGGTAATATTTTTGGACAATTTGTGTTTTGTTTTTTTTTATCTGTATCAGCCGGTGCGTTGCGTTTTAAAGCAATATTGAACTAAAAAGAATCTGCAGCAAACATCGGGGATTGTTTATACTGATACCAAAATTGATCTGCACTAAAATCGGCCGTAACCCTTTATAGAGCAAGTCACCATTTTTGATCACTTGCACACCCCTTACAAATGGAGTCCCCCTGTCCCTCAGTGAGGTCTAGAAGCACAAGATCTATATCCAGCCATTCAGCAAAGATACCGTTGCATGGCTGTACATCTTATTTTGGCATTTGACCAATTAGATGAGCCCTTAATTGATATATTACCTACTGTAAATTAAGTTGGAAGCTAACAAGCCAAGGAAAAAAAAGGTAAAAAGCTAATAAAAATTTTGAAAAACCAAAGTTAAAAAGTTAATAAGCCTAGTTAACAATTATATTTAGGTTTATAAACTAAAAAAAGTAAGTGCCAGTATCAGCATTAATATCTCTAAGATTATGTTGTACCAAAAAAATGTGTTTCTTTCCCTCTCAGAGTGTTTTTCATGAATTTCTTATAGAAGCACTTTTGTTATTTTTCTTAATATATTCGCTCAAGTTGGTGTATCTTGTTATTTTATTGAAATTATTTTTTGCGATCAAAATATCCATATTTTTTGAATGTTACAAAGGTAATAAGCGCTTGTCCTGGATTCCAATAACGCTGTTGGCTTCAAATTTAGATTTTCAAAGTATTTCACTGAGTTTCCTATGAAGGGTTAAGAAAAACAAACTATATTGATTGAACTCTAAGAAACACAAAAAAGTGTTCAATATATGTTCTATATAGCCTACAGAGAAGGAAGATTTTAAGGAGGGGAGATTTGTTGAATATTTAAGCTGGACTTGCAATGGTGCTGCATTAGTCATCACTTCTTTTTTCAGGTAAAGAGTAGAAGTTTGGGAAAATGGCGGCAGCAGGGTGCTTGCATCTAGGGAGGAGTTCTACTTCAGGGATGGGTCAAATGCAGAAGACAGGCTTCTCTGTTTACGTCGCAATGACAAATTAAGATGTTATTAATCTTCTGAAAACAGAAGAGTGGCAAACGTAAAGTACCGTGTTCGTTAGCATCACGTTTTCATAGGAGTTCCTTTTTTCACGGCCGAATCATGTTTGTTGTTGATGAATTACTGCCTGGCCACCTGAAGATCACAGCCATTTGTTAAATACTTTTTTCAGCGTTGTCCTCTAATGTTTTAATAGCGTCTTTTGCTCCAAATGACAGAATCTCCACCTTCACTGTAAATCACACGCTGAGAAATGTTATTCTGTAATTATGGAACTATTTGCCCATGAAATCTTTCAGAGTGGCTATTTCCTCTTCATCTTTCCCCATGACAGACTCTTCCTCTCCTCCAAGCACCTAATACTCCATCATGCTACTTGACCTGTTGCCAGATAACCTAATTAGTTTTGAGATTTTCCACCGGGTGATTTTTCTTCCTGTCTTTTGTTTCCTGTGTCTGCTTGCTGTGACCTGATGCATGGCGTGTTTTTGTTTTTTTCCGTGGTCCTCAGCGGTCTGTATGACTTTATTTCCTGATTCGATGAGTTACGATCCGCCCGCTGTGTGCTGCTGCTGTGTGGACTCACATCAACCATGGGGATCTCCTCAGGACCGGGCCCTGGGTGGTTTGGCCCATTAGCCAACATGCGGTTTGGCTGCTCCACAAATTGATTCTGGTTTTGATGTAGGTGATTCTGCATCTGTCTCCTCTGTGACCTGGAGGGATGGTACAAATGTGTGAAAGTAAGTGATCGGATAAAAGCATTTCTTTCCCTCATATCTTACTTCTTTTTTGTTAATTAAATTTTTTACTGGTCCCATTTATTTTTATCTGTAGGTTCTAGTGTTTCCTTTTTCTCTTGCAACTTATATTAAAAAATAATCCCTTTTTCTATGCACTGTTATCTAAAAGAAACTGTAATATTTAGCATTTTTACTCATCAAAAAATGAAACATGGAGATTGTTTTCTGCTAAACATAACCAAAAATACTTTAACTTTATTAGAAATAATTGCACACAGAAAAGAGCTTTTAAGATGTGATGAAGAATAAAGACAACCGACCTAAGATTAAAAACTCACACAACAAACCTAAGAAAAGCCAGAAAAACAACATCAAAGTATTATGTAAAAAACAGTTGGCTCTTTTCTAAATTGATTATTACCTTACTCTTTTTAAAACATAACTTTTTCTGCACTTTAGAACATAATTTCTACTTTATATATGGCTCCTAATTAAACGTCATGTAGCAAAGATAAACAACACATCCCAGACTAAAGCTGCTGAGTTTGTAAAGCCCATAAATGAACTAACAAACGCTGATGACAGCCGGTGTTCTGTCTGATGAGCATACCCCTTCAGACCAGCATGCCTATAGTCAATATGCAAGACGTCAGATTTGCGTTTATCCCTTTAGTTTTGTATGAAAAATAGACTTTAAACTACCTCAAAGGGCGAGTATCCCTTTAGTCATGTACAAATAACAACAATTTATGGTGAGATCGCCATACGCTTAAAAAAACACCAAAAAGTAAGTCATTTAACAGTTTTTTTGAACATGTCTAAAGGGATACATGCCCATTGAGGTAGTTTAAAGTTTATTTTTTGTACAAAACTAAAAAGATAAAATAAAGGGATAAACTAAAGGGATAAACAGGTATTAACTATGGATATGCTGTTCTGAACGAGTATGCTCGTCTGACAGAACATAGAGAGAAGGCTGTCTGTAGGTGAAAGCAATCTTAAGTAGGCTGAACCTGAAGTATGTTCCTCAGGTTAGAGTAGTGGTTCTCTGTCAAACACTGACTTATTATTTTTGGAGAGAAAAAACCCCAAAAGATTTACTTCACAAAAAAATTCATATATATATATATATATAT